TAATTATGAAAGAAACTACAACTCTTCAACATGAGTGCAAATATTTTTATTTGCAGGTAGATATTTTGCATGCTTTATGAAATTTTGTGTATTTCATACCATTCAGTGCTCAACTAAAAATAGCTATCATTCTGTACCTACACAGAAATCATATCATGCAGTGTGAAGCACTCCTATTTACTGGAGGATAGAACATTAAGTTATTCTAGCAGTATGTAAAATACGTACATTTTAACAGTGGAATTAAGGACCTATTTAAAATTTAGCAGTTGCTAAGCAATGTGCTATTAGCAGAACTCCAACAGCTTGAAACATTTAGCATTTTAGGACCTACGTGCTCATTTTGATGTTATTACTTAGTTTACAAAATACGGTTAGTGATCAACAAGGAAGTTCATAATTTGTTTAGACAATAGAGGAGACTTTTCCCGTGCTCCTCTGGATCTTCATCTTAGCAAAAATGACCTAGGAAATTTTGTTACAGATTGGTATGGGTACAGTTCTTTAATTTCCTTCTAAAGCCTGTGGATGAAGGAGGCTGTGCTGGGAGGGCCGCAGAAGGGAGAGGAGCGGGAAGGCCAGCAGCAGCGTCTCTGCTGCGCCCACGCCGGCGGCCGCAGGGGAGCCCGCACGGGCAGCCTGGTCTGCTCGGCAGCCGCGGGGGGATCCCCACGGAGGGAGGAGGAGCTCAGCACCCAGCGCTGCAGGGCGCTCATCCTCGCTCTGGACGGGTTTATGCTACCACTGCACGCAGCATTGCCCAAACTGCCCTGGGATGCATGTGTATGGGACTCAGCAGAGCTGCCCACGCTAATTCCTTTGGCAGAACCTCCTTAACTGTTGACAAGGTTTCTAGGTAAGTACCCAGAAATTTCGGTTAGCTTTCTTATGGACAAGAGGGAATTATCCAGACCAGTGCTGTCTGACTTACGGCTGTGGCCCAGATGATACATGTTTAGCAAATGCTAATCTGGAGAGTGAAACCCATGAGAGTGTCCATTCTTGCCTGTAAATTTTTGGAGACTGTTACTCTGAATAAAGCAGTGTCTCATTGGGGCTGGAATTACTCCAAAGTCCTAAATGCTCCTGGTCCTTCATACAGATGATCGCCCAGAGAGAGACATGCTGGACATCTACCATCTTCCCTTAATATCAGTCAAGTAAAAACTAGCTCATCTTGATTTCATGGAAACCTAATAATTACACTTATATAAGGTCTGTTTTACTTAAACATATTTTGCTTTCCTATCATTTGCTCAAAAATATACCAAAACTACTAGAATTTAGGAAAGCCAAAAATACTTTTACAAATATCTTTAAGGAGAAATGATTCCCTGAAGATACTATGAACAGAGGCTGTTCCTATATCAGCTCTTGTCTTTGATTAACCACTTAAAAGAAAGGAATAGAGTAATTATTAAAATCAGCCCTGTAGTGCACCTGAGCACTCTGAGTGAAACCTGACTCCCGAGGGGGCTGAGGCTGCTCAGCACCTCACAGAATGGGCTTGAAATGAGAAAGTCAGAGGCTTCCTTTGTGAAATAATGAGTTTACTGCTTACCTAGTAGCAGTTTGGGGTTGTTCATTCAAAGAGGAAAAAAAAAGGAGGAGGATTCCGTTCTGGGCTTGGAATCAGTGCAATTCCCCTACTTGACTTCTAGACTTTCGCCTCTCAGGACATGCAACAGCTTCTCTAGCTGCTCAGCCATGAAATAACTCTGCAAGCAAAGGCTCGAGCCCTCACCGTGTCATGCCGTAACATCATTATTCACTTGATAAAACGGTGGCCGTTCCACAACATCTCCTGCCTTGGGTTTGCCCCCAGCTGCCGGGTGGCCCTGCTCATTATACAGGTACCGTCTCCCCAAAGCCGGCGCGTGGCAGCAGCAGTCCCAGCCTGGCTCTCTCCAGGCTCGTGGAAAACCGGCCCTAGACTTGGTTTCACAGTTGCCTGCACACGTTGCTCTGTTCCAGTTTGCTGCCTCTCTGGAGGCCGCTTCCCTCGTGTTTGTCCTTTCCTTCTCATTCACCTTGCCTGTCACCCCAAGGCAGACTTAATTATAATGTCATCAAAGGTTTATTCTGCCAGACCTTAAGATTGTGCTTTAATTACCAAAACAAAAGCAAATGTTCACAACCAAACTAAGTATAAAACACATTATTTGGCTACTAGTTGCAGCTGGAGCCTTTTTAGATATTCCAGTATCTCTCATTCAGAACTCCTGTAGTATCTTCCAGCTGGAAGATTTGGGATCCAGGATTCCTGGCGGCTGTCTGTATTTTGGATGCTGTCTATAGCCTACTACCTCCATTAGAAGCTCAGTTTTGGATATATGTGCACATGCCTTAAGTGGAGATATCCAGGGCAAGACCTGCTTCGACCTCCCTTCCTGTCCCTTTAGATGATGTGTGTGGCCATTTCCCTTCCACTCCTACTCAGTCCAGCTGCCCCGTGTGAACATTTACTTGATTTTCCCCAGACCGAGTTGGGGTTTAATACACGATGTTAAACCCAGGCTACCTGTTAGATTACCAGCTTTCTCCAAAGGCCACATCTCATAAATTACCAACAATTAGTTTTGTCACCTGGATTTGCTCATGAGTTCTTGTTTTCTCTCAAGTTTTGCTGGATTTTCAGTGTCACAAGACAGTCAAAATATCACAAAAGGAAAAAAAAAAAGGCACACACACAAAATTCTAGCTTAGACTGAAAAAAAAAAATGGTAAATGGCCTAAAACCTTCTGTTTTGAGACACTGAACACTGTATAAAGGCAGTCTATGCACTTGGTTATAGATATATTTTATTAATGCAGTGCTTCAAAATGGGGTAAAAACCTACTTAAGACTTTAATAGATCTTGGAAATGATGGGGTATTTCAGAAGTTAAGCTCACCCTCATTACCGTGTAACACTACCTGACACCGGAGACGGATCGTGCCGGAATTGTGCTCCGGCAGGCGACTCGGCGAGCCGGGGCCAACCTCTCCCGCTCCCTCGATACGTACAGATTACTCCCATTAGAGGGGCCTGATGAATGAAAGGATCATCGTTAATGGGTATTACTTTAATGTAGGGGGCCAAATCCTATTATCCTGTACAACTGTGTAAATAGTTTGGGGGCAAGGGAGTCCCACTGGAAGGCAAAGAAATGGAGACCTCTGCCCCAAGGCCCCAGATGTTCCCGTTCCTGGCGTCCCCTTCAGCCTGTCCTGTCCCTGTTCAGTGAACCCCCGTTCAATGAACCCCCCGCTGAAGATTTTTGTCACGGGCTGGCAGAGCGAGAGGGGGCCGCGTGGTTTGGGCTGCGATCTTGCAGACAGTCTCTACGGTGGGAGCTGTGGTGCTCTCGGTGCTCGCGATGCTTCGATCGCGTTTCTCCTCACCTTTTGCAGATTATTTTAATAACTGCATGAGGTGGGTTATGCTGATTACAGTGTATGCACCAAGTTATTTGATATATTATTCACCAACAAATATAAGATAAAAAGTAAGTCTGCATATAATTACCTACAACTGCTGACTGACTTATAATTAACTTTGAAAAATTGCTGGTTTAGGAGATATTATAGATTACAATTTTAAATATAAGGAGCTTCAGAATAGCTCTCACGATCAGTACAAGGTATTCAGTGAAGGATTAATTCCCTAAACTACTAATCAGCTCTATCTTCTGTCTTATCAAATTGTAAATACATTATGCTGTATTAAAGTATAAGCATGCAGCTAATTAAAGCAGAGCCTGCATTTAGTATCAGATACTTCCCCCGCCAACATAACAACATAACAGAAATGTTCTAAAGACATACATAACAAATTGTTAACAAATCAAAGTGATTTTTAAGTGGTGCTGCACTTCCATAGCAGGTTTTTGTTTTCATTTGGAGGATTTTTTTTTAAAGAAAAGGAGGAGGGAGGAAAGCCCCACCGTGTTTCTGGAGAAACAAGCTGGAAGACAGCAATTCTACCAGTCTAGAGCTGTAAACCCACAGGAACAAAGTAAGGGATTACAAGCAAGGCTCTACAAATAGAACTGGAAGACATCCAGCTAGAGTTTGGTTCATTGGTTAACATTTTTAACAGATGCTGATGTTAAATGCTTTAAACTAAAATAAGAAGAAATTGTAAAAGCAGAAAGCAAAGCCATCCTTATTGTATAAGGAATGCAGTAGAAATTTAAATGAAAGCTCAGTGAAGCCTATCTGAGCAAACAGAGGTTCCGAACTATAATTGAACATCATTTGCAAAACTCTTTACTTGTATTTTTCTGTTTCAAACTCAAATGTAGTGGTGCCACTGAAAGGTAGGTTAAAAGAAAATAAATAAATCACCTATGAAACTTAAAAAGTATGACAGAGTACCTAGCAAAGAACTTTTCAACCAATGGTACCATTTGAAAGTTCTCACACCCAAAAGATATCTGAGTATACAATGTTATTCAGCAACAGAAGACATAAATTTTGTCAACAATTATGTGATATAAAATCCATGAGGAAGGACTTTCAGGGTTTTTTTTGTCCCTTTTTCTTTTCCTTGCTATTTTTTTTCTGTTCTTTTCCTTTCTTTTGTTCCTTTTCTGTCCTTTATTTTCCCTTTTTGTACCTTTTTTCATTTTTTTTCTTTCATTTTTTCTCTTTTATTAAACATCTCCACTTGAAGAAAAAATCTCA